TTTTTTTTTGGCCCGGCCGGGCAAGTGGACCCGGACCAGTCTGGTAGCTTAGATCAGAACAGATTTTCCGATTTTCGGAGACAAACAGAGGACATTGTGGCACTGTCTCTTGATCCGTCAACCATAGTGGAGGGATGTGTTGGGCGTGTGCTTTGGATGCGCAGGACGCTGGACCTGATTTCCAGCATATGTGTGTTCAGAAAAAAAAAGCCTGTAGTCTACGCAAGCTTGCTACTTCTGGGATGACTGTCTTTTCTTTTCTTTTTTTTTGAAAAATTTGGACCATTTCTCGACTTATGCGTGTCATCCTTGCGCAGGGGCCATGCTAATCTTCTTTCTCTGTATCGTTCCAATTTTAACGGATGTCCCAAAGGACAGGGATGAGTGTCTTTTCTTTTAAATTTGGATTTTCCGATTTTCCACATTCAGCAACAGTTCACTTAATATTCATGTCTCAAACTGATTGCCGACTTCTCTTCGGAATGGACATGTCTGTTGTATCCCGGTGCGCTCCCCCCCCCCCCCCCCCCCCCCCCCCCCCCCCCCCTTTTTTTCTTTTCCCTTTTTCCCCCCCCCCCCCCCCCCCCCCCCCCCCCGCCGTCTTTTTTTTCTGCTTGTGGTTTTTGTGTGTGCTGGTGGCACCTGCTTTGCAGGTTCATGCTTGCCAACTGTCTATGGGACAAATATCGTGATGGTCTCATCGAGCATCAGGATGTCGCCTGCAGTTGGTAGGCTGTAATTGTGGGGCGTGAAGGAGAGGCGTACTGTCAGTCTGTTCGAGGACATCGGCCCATAAAGAATACTGAACATGGGTTTGAAAAAAACTTCTTAATAACTGCGAATCTTCACCAGCTGAGCTGTTGTGCAAATGGTATCCTCGCCCATTCGTGCTGGTCCTGTTGGCCTTGCACTCCTTTTAAATCGGGTTCTCTTTGCGCTTCCGAGTACTGAGGGTAAGGGACAGGCTTTTAGAGCACAGCAGAGATGACGACATTATGTGGTTCACTACTGTTTGGCAATTTGAAATGAAGAACTTGGAAGCTTCTCACACATTGTCAAGGTTTTTTTTGCGACTGAGCTCAGCCAGTGGGCGTAATTACGGTCAGATTCATCCAGGTCGAGGCGGAAGTCCGGCCAGATACATCCGGTAAAGTCCTGGTGTGTGTGCCAGCCTGCCGCATGCCCGCAGAAACGAATAATGGTTGGGACTAAAGCATTTGGAGTGATAGTGAGGAGCGGCAGGGTTCATTGCTATGGCTCGAACCAAGTGATGCTTTGGAAGGATGGATACAGAATTATGACGGTCCAGAAGAAAATACTTAAAGAGTGATGGTGTGGAGCAAAGGGTCTAGCATGAGGAAGGGAAGGGGGGGGG